ATGTTACTGCCACAGTCTAATGTAGACTGCAAGATGTGTTGGATTAAATTCCACACAGGGGTACATGGCAGAATAAAAGCAGGGAGTAAAGATAAAATATACAAATCTTATCTGCTAGGATAAAAAGATTACAAATTCAATTTATATACATTGAAAATAGGTATAAGGATGAGCTGTGTTTGAATCCATAATCGGAAGATGGAAAGCTGCACAGGCCTTTCATGTTTTGTTTGTTTTAGCACATTTTTCCCCAACATTATCAGTATTAAGAAGAAAAAATGAGGCTACATCCCAGACCCACTTGAGAAAAGAGATAAAACGATCCCCTTACATCTTTCATTTCTCCAGGGTTTGCAGACACTTGTAAAGAAGCAGCTTACCTCATGTGAACAGATTCAGAGATATATTTTTATTCACCTTTACAGCAATTACCCACAATTGCCATACAAGATTATTTAGGACATTCTGCAAAAGAGTGATGAAGAAAGTCAAACCTAAATAAACCATTCTATGAAACACCTTCTGCTTTCATGGCTAATAGCTCTGTTTTTCAGTTCTATTAATAAGATTAACTTTCTGCTTCTATAAAATTGTGACGAGATATGAATATTTAGTAACTAGTATGGTTGTCTGACTTACTCTGTATTTGTACTGATTGTGACTACAGTGACTACAGAAATCGGGCCATTTACCAAAAAATTCACATTCCTTTCCCACCTGCCCTTGATTGTGGAAGAATTTCTCCTGAGCAGGATGGCTTTAAGGCCTATTTTAATATAAAATTGCATTTCTCATACATTGTGACATCAATCCTGTGCTGTGTTAGTCCCAGGGCACGACTGGAGCCTGCAGAGGGGTTTCTTTTTGCATCCACCTCTAAGAGCAACTGAATTGTCACCCAGCCTTTCTGAGTTTTAAGTCATCCTCACCAACTCTTTAGTGGATCTGCTGACTCACTTGCTTTCTTTTAAGTCTTTTTGGCTGTTTGGTGGCCAGGGGATGGATGTCTGCTGTGATTACTGTTGTTTTTATTGGGTCTGCTGAGAAAAGTGCTGGGGCCAGCAGGAAGCCCCCTGCATGACAGAGAAGGGCAGGAAGCTGCTGGAAACTTCTATTGCCCAAAGCAGCCAGATTATGACAAGTGACATTTCCTATGCTTGCTTGGGTGGCTCCTCCACTGGCTGATGACTCTATGAGGCTGATGGTGAGCATGGGGCTTTTCTGTCCTTCAGTTTTTAGTGAAAACTGACATCTACTGGTAATGAAATGTTGGGGTGTACAGCAGTTTTAATTTGGGGATCCTAAAACTATCTATTTGCTTTTATTAGTAAAAGCAGGGTTTTTTCTCTATGGGCATTACTTTTATCTGTTTTAGTAATTAACAGACATGGAGCAACCAAGGTCTGCTATCACAGTCTGAAATTTCTGAGTTTTTCCTTATTTCCTTAGCCTTTTCCTTTCCTATACACACGCATGTTGTCCTTGAATAAATGCTGATACTAAATGAGTATGGGAAGAGTGAAAATTAAAATGAGTGCTGCCCTGTGACTCTTGTGAAAAACATTCTGGACCTCTTAAGCCCCAAATGGATCAAATATCTTGGTGCATAGGTGTGCTAGCACTTGTTTTGAGCTCCTGTAGAAGGACAGAGGCCAACAGTGCTCCTAATTATTTTTTTTTTTTATCAAAAGGAAAGAAAACACTGCTTTTTCCTTTTTGGCCTTTTTTTTCCCCCCTAAAAGGGGTCTATTCTAACAGGGAGACAGCCAGCCTTGAAAATTCTGGCCTTCTGACAGAATTTCCTGTAGGAGTGGCCTTTATAAAAGCTGTTTCCTATCAGGTTTTTATGTTGCTTTTCCTTTTTTGCATTTCTTCTCTTTGTTCTTAGTCTCTCCCCACTTCTTCTCAATCATTTAACCCAATATGTATATGTCAAAAAAGAACTGAAGTAAGAACATATCCATTTAGACAGCTAACTTACAATTAACTTACAGTCAATATGTATGTCTGATCTCAGCACAGTCATGAACCTTATCCACAAATACTTTTATTTTACAGCTGCTTAACTGTAGGTTCCATCCTATCAAATAGGATGTCACTTCCTTCCAGGCCACTTCTGCCACACAGGATGACTCACTCTGCATCAGGGGTGTTGCCAGCTGTAACAATTTATTTACCAATGTGGTTTTAATATTATTCACCCTGTAAGCATTGCAAAGTCACAGAGATTCTCTAGGTTCTGTGCTTTTAAGGCACAGTTATTTTACACAAGGATGCTTTTTTTCTGTGTTGGGAAAAAAATGGGTTAAAGGGAATATGTCACAATGCTTTGATTGATTTTTTCAGGAGGTAAAAAAGGAAAAGGAAAGCACAAATCATGTCTTCACAGGGGTATGAAATTTAATTCTGGTTTCAGTTGAATGAGTGTAGGTTTACTGAATGAAATATAACTGCATCACTTTATCTGTCAGAGTGTTTTAAGGTGAAATTACATTAAGAGTACAAACTGGATTTTGATGGCAAATAGTAAATATCAGCAAATACCTCTTTGTCAGGATTTGTTACAATCAGTACCATTAAAATGTCAAGGAGGACTTTAAATAAATTGTGGAGCATGGTCTTACACAGGTACTTTAAAATGTTAGAAAGCGAATAGTTAAAAAACCCAAGTTACTTGGTTTAGGTGCTAAGACTGACTATCTCTAAACCCAAGAATGTTGTGTGAAGCAGAATTTTTTCCATTACCCATGGGAACATTCTGCATATGGACAGATGATCTCATTGCATCGCTGATAGGGATTTGTGGCAACACCCTTTGATCCTGCTTGTGGTCCCTGCCCCCCTCTCACCTCTATCCTAATCCTTCCCTTCTTCACATCGAGTTTCCATGTGCTTTCCTTGTTGCCCATCCTGCTGTGTCCACTCTCAGCTCCAGGCACCAGCCAGGCTGCTGCTGAACCTGAGGAGCTCCATCAGCATGTTGTTTTCAGAGCTTCTGCCCTGATGGCAGGCATCAGCTCAGCACTGCTTTCACAACAGAGGCTTGTTTTCAGAAAAGGAGGAAAAGTGGGGGAAGCAGCGGAAATCCAACTTTCCACTGGAGATGTGTCATCCCAGCCGGAGCAATAGCGAGGCAGCGGTGACGCTGTGCTGCTCTGCGTCCCTTCTGCTGCTGCTGAGGGTGCTGGGGGAGCCCTCAGCACAGACATTCTCACTGTGGCTCTGGGGAGGCAGAAAGAGGAATCTCCACACTGATGTGTAAGAACAGCCACACATGTGAAAACAGCTCCCAGCAGCAGGACAATTTCCAGGCGTGCTGACCAGTATGTGTTGTGCAGACCTTGTGAACAGTCTAGCTCGGGCTCTTCATGCAAGGACTTCTGTAGGATACATGTGTTTACTTTAAAACAACAATGTGCATTTTTTCCCAGAACAGACTGTATTTTTTCAGTTCTTTCAGCCACAGGCTGCATTCAGGCTTTCTCGGGATATAACCAAGTTTACAAGGCCTTTCCTTGACTCCCCTATCAATTTTTTCTCACGGAGTAGTTTCCTGTTTACCGAGAAGGCTTCTGGAGGCACTTTCTCCTGTAAAAGCAGTTTTATAGATTCACAGAATGCCTTGGGTTGGAAAAGACCTTTTAAGGGTCATCAAGCCTAACTTCCTGCCGTGGGCAGAGACATTTTGGCTTTACAGGATTTCTGGATTTTACACAATCTTTACACAATTCCTTAACCTGAAAAGTTGTGGGGAGATCTTAGGATAGCTAAAAACTGTAATGCAGTCTATGGCCAGGTCTTACAGAGCTGATGCATCTAAGCAGCAGAGAGATCTAGGTTATGGTAGGGAAATAACCAAAAGTTCATTAAAAATTACAGTAGCTGAGGTGGGTCCCCTCACATCTGCTTAGGATCATGTCCTTGGATGGCACAAACCATCCAGGTTTGGCATCACTTAGCTGGCAACCCACAACCAGTTTTCTCCCATTTCTTAAGAAACCTTTTTTTTTTTTTTTTTCCCTATGAAAAGCATTTAAATGAAAAAAGGACCTGGTGGTGGTGTTTGACAGCTGGCTGAACATGAGACAGTGTGTGCCTGGGTGGGCACCTGGAATCAGAAACAGTGAGACCAGCAGAAGCAGGGAGGTGATTCCTCCGCTACGCCCGGCACTGCTGAGGCACCCTGAGAGCTGTGTCCCTTTTAGCCCCCTCAATTCAGGAAGGACATTGAGGGGCTGGAGCGTGTCCAGGGAAGGGAACAGAGCTGGGAAGGGGCTGGAGCACCAGGAGGGGCTGAGGGAGCTGGGAAGGGGCTCAGCCTGGAGAAAAGGGGAACTTCTGGCTCTGCACAACTCCTGACAGGAGGGGACAGCCGGGGGGTTTGGCGTCTTATCCCAGTAAACAAGTGACAGGATAGAGGACATAGTCCTAAGCTGAGCAGGTGAGGTTCGGGTTGAACATTAGGAAGAATTTCTTCATGGAAAGGGTGATGAGACAGTGGAAGGGGCTGCTGAGTCTCCATCCCTGGAGGTGTCCAAGGAACGACTGGACGTGGCATTCAGGGCTCTGGTCTGGTTGGCAAGGCAAGGGTCGGTGAAAGGTTGCATTCGATGATCCTGGAGGTCTTTTCCAACCTGAGTGATTCGGTGATTGTGTAAAGGGCGCAGTTTTGGGGCTGTGCCGGTGCGGGGGCGCTGGCAGGCCCGGCGCTCTGCCGCGGTCACTCACTCGGCGCCGCAGTGAGGGCGAGGGCAAGATCTCCCCATGCTGTGGGAGCGGGCCCACCGCCGCCATCGCCGCTTTAAGCCGGCGCATTCCGCGAGGCGGGGGCAGCTCCAGCCCGGCTACGCTGCGGGACTCCGCTCCCGGCCTGCTCCGCGCCCGCCCCGCCTCGCCTCGCCTCGCCCCGCCGGGCCTCGCCCGTCTCAGCCCGCGGCCGGCGCGGAGCGGTGGCACCCGGCGAGCGAGCGAGCCTCCTCCGTGCCCCCCGCAGCCCCGCCATGGGGGGCGGCGGCGAGCGCTGGGCGCTGTGCCTGTGGCTGCTGTGGCTGTGGGCGCCCGCGCGGTGCGGCGCTGCCATGGACGAGTGCGCGGAGGAGCGGAGCGGGCGGGCGCAGCGCTGCATGCCCGAGTTCGTGAACGCGGCGTTCAACGCCACGGTGCTGGCCACGCACACATGCGGGACGCCGGCCGAGGAGTACTGCGTGCAGACCGGGGTCACCGGCGTCACCCAGTCCTGCCACCTCTGCGACGCCGCCCAGCCGCACCTGAGCCATGGCACCGCCTTCCTCACCGACTACAACAGCCCGGCCGACGCGACCTGGTGGCAGAGCCGCACCATGCTGGCCGGCGTGCAGCACCCCACCGCCGTCAACCTCACCCTGCACCTCGGTAAGGGCGGCAGCGGGCACGGGGCGAGGGCACCGGGGCAGAGTTAGCCTGGGCTCCGGCGCAGGCTGGGCTGAGCTGCTGGAGGGCAGCGCTGCGAAGGAGAGCCGGGACTCCTGGTGGACAAGGAGGGGTCCAGGAGCGTGCCCTGTGCGCGGTGGTGTCCCCGGGTGTGTTAGGACCGGCGTAGTCAGCTCTTCCCGGGCTGATCCTGCCCCTGTCCTCAGGCCTAGGGAGGCACATCGGGAATGCTGTGTCCAGGTCTGGGCTCGTTAGGACCTGGAGCAGGTCTAGCAGAGGTTGTGGAGATGATGGAGAGATTCGAGCATCTCCCTCACGAGATGGGAGTGTTCAGCTTAGAGAGGAGATGGCTGAGAGGAGCCTTGTCTGTCCCTGTCTGCAGGGAGGGCTCAGAGGCTGGACACAGCATACTACTCCCTGGGTCCCAGCAATGGGACAAGAGACCATGGGCAGGAATGGATGCCCAAGAAGTTCCACCATGATGGAGAGGTTCTTTCCTGTGCAGTGACCAAGCACTGGAACAGAGACCAGAGAGGCTGTGGAGTCTCTCACTGAGGATATTCCAGACCTGTCAGGACACAATCCTGTGCCATGTGCTCTGGAATGACCCTACCTGAGCAGAGAGGTGGGACCCAATGACCCACTGTGGTCCCTTCCCACCTGCCCCATTCTGTCATTCTGTGCTGATTGGTCACCTGCACAATGGGCATTGCTTGGGCCATGCCTGGGCGAGTGCCAATAACCAGGCCCTGGGTGGTCCAGTGTTCAGAGGCTGTCATTGAGTCCCTGCTCTGCAGGTCCTCAGCGATGCTCACCAGGTCTAAAATCAATGCTGCCTGCACCCCATGGTTGTGGTGGGATATCCTCAGACAGGAGTCTGGCCCTGTGCTGGTTCTTCACCCCTCAGCTGATAGCTTACATCTGCTTAACAGTGTTTGGTAAACTTGATTTTCAGCATTCTCCAGTGAATATTGCAGGGGTTGCTCCACTGCAGTCTGCGTTGGAGGTGCTGTTGGTTTGTGAGAGGAGAGGCTGCACTGCCAGAGGTGCCTGGAAGTGGAGCAGGTTGCAGTGATCGTGTCCCACCCCATGCACCAGGGATCATTGAGCCATTTTGGTTGGAAAAAGAGTAGAAAGAAATTGTTCCCTGTGAGGGAGGTGAGGTGCTGTGGGTGCTCCATCCCTGGAAGTATCCTAGGCCAGGCTGGACAGGTCTTGGAGCAACATGGTCTAGTGCAAGGTGTCCCTGCCCATGGCAGGGAGTGGAATGACATGAGCCTGAAGTCCCTTCCAACTCAAGCCATTCTGTGATTCTGTGCAAAGACCTTTAGGATCCAGTCTAACTGGTAACCCAATGCAGCCAAGCTCAGGATTGGATCACGGAGTTTTCCGGGCAACAAGCTTTGGATGCAGGTGGGAGATTTTGGTTTGGAAAGTGGCAGGCACTGTGTGGAATCACGTGTGCTGGGGCACATCTGCCGTGTATCCTCTTACCCCCCGGGGCAGCATTGTCCTGTAATTGCTGGGTGGGTTAGGCGTGTCTGCAGCCAGCATTGCTGCTGAACTGTAACAGCCAGTCAAAAAAGGAAGGTGGATTTCCTGATTCGTTGTCAATTCCAGAGGTTTCTTTGGGATAAAGTGTTTTAGCCTTCACTTTGGTTTGTGGACAAGCTTTTCTTTAATGTTCATTCAGTTATTCAAGCTGTCATGACATGGAGGAAGGGTAATTGTTTAATAACTGGAAGATGAAACAGCCTAGAGAAAGTTGAAATCACAACTTATATCCTGATGTCATTAAATCAAATAAATATTAAAGAAAGCCCCACTGCAGCCATTCGCAGCTTCTAATCAAGAGCAGCTGTTGGGCATTAAATTTAGTATCAATAACAGTCTAATTTAGGGGAAAAATGGTGTTAGGGCTTGGAGAGCTGTATCTTGTGAGAGCTCTCACCTGCATTGGTGAGATGGAGTTGATGGCACCGAGTCCTGTACTGGGGTCACCTGATGAGCACATCCATGTGCCCCACAAGTGTTTCCTTCTGTTTGGAGCTTCAACATAAATATACCACATAAGCATGTCTGATAGTCCCTCTTTGTTTTCTTTTCTTTGTACATTAGGAATGTTTTTTTTCAAAAGTCCTGGAAAGCAAAGATTTGATCTCAACTTCTTTTTTAATAACAGTCATTGTAATTCTCATTATCAAGGCAAGACTCACATACCCATCTGTATTACTGCTGTGCTTGGTTTTGTGTACCCATGTGTATATGGGTGTTTTTTAAAAACACAGTACTGGGAGCAGTGTGCTGTGTCCTGGGCTTTGAAGAAATAGACACATTTTGCTGAAAACATCCGCATCTTCAAAATACTGTAGCATTGCAGCACTTTCACTTGTGTTCCAGTTTGTTTGCAGGCTCTTGGAGCTTTGGGAATTTGCTTTGCCATGTTTTTGAGTGGAGTACAACTTTAAAGCAGAAGCTGCCTGACCGACTTGGATGTATTTGAGTGGGTTTTTTGGCCTGATTTTTCCTAGTTAGGTTTTTGAGAGGGATATTTTTAGTATAAAGCCCTTTAAGAATCAGAAGCTTGTTGTGGCCATGGTGGTGATGAAGTTGGTTTTAAGATGACAACAGCAAAGCATTTATCTCTCTGCACATGTGCTCTGTGATTCTCTGCATTGCTGAGTTCATGGCAGGTTGAAGAGCTGCTGAGTACTGACAGCTCCTTTTTAGTCTGAAATGCCCCAAACTTCTCTGCAGCATTGCTCTTCCCTACTTTTGTGGGGTCTTAAAACCACTTTGTTTGAGTGAGCTGCTGGGTGCTGCTTTTGGGTTCTGTGTGCCCGCAGGCACTGTGGTCTGTGGGACACTTAATTATTGACATCACTAAGAGGCAAGGAGCTTGAGTATTTATGCACTGGGTAGGACATAAAGGCACTCTGAGGCACAAAGCCCTTTCATGCATTTAGTTCTGCCTGGTCTTTGAGGATTAAGCTCTGTGCTCAGACCCATATCCTTATTTGATGCTGCAATTGCCTTCATTTCTGAAAGCGTTGGTGTCCTGAATGGTTAATGCTGTTTTGCACCTGGTCAGGACCAGCTGCCTTGACTCTGGGTTTCACGTACATGCTGCCCTGTGCTGAGTTTTCTGGCAGTTTGAGATGTCTTGATTAACATCCAGCAATGTTCAGTCCATGTAGAGCAGCATTAACATTTCACAGGGGCCTGCAAGAGGTCAGTAAGAACTGCAGGTCTGTTGCCAACATGTGAATGTGGATTTCTTTGAATCTCCTTACAATGTGCAGTTCAAAGCAAGTTTAAAAACCTTTAGTTTTGGGACTAGGTGCCAGCACAAAGCCTGATACAGGAAAACACAGCGCAGATCACTACTACTGAGTTAAAGGCTCAGATCCTGGCAGTGTTTGGAGATGAGATCTGTGTCCAGAAGTTAGGGTGCTCCCTGAGGAGAGGAGAATTGGGGTAATTACCACTCCCTGCACCAGGAACATTAGAGTTACAAAGGCTATTTCTCTTTGTATGAGAGGGTATTAAGACCCCCTAAGTAAGGGTAGGTAAAAGGCCTGGAGACACAAATTTGCAGCTGTAAGTCAGGAGAAGGGGGAGCTGAACTTGTTCATAGGGTGGTGTCTGGATAATCAGGTTAGTGAGTGAGAGGAGGGGAGAGCATTGCTGTGTCCTTTCTTCCACATTTCTTAAAAGTATCCCTTGGCTTCCCCATTTTCCATTTCCTCAGAATTTATTACTTATTTAGACTTGACCCAGCCAGTCTTTTTTTTTTTTTCTTACTGCTCTCCTACTATATTTCCATATATTCCCAAAAAAAGGCACTTTGAGGCAGTGGTGCCAGCTTTGAAGTAGAAGATGGAAGCCAAGGCCTTCCAGTGCGTTGTCTGCTTTGTTTTTGGAGCCAGGGTGTCACATTATTTTTACTGTCTGTGCTGTTTGCTTGTCCTGGGAGCCTGGGATAGCTCTGGCATCTCCCCAGTGCTTTGTGTGCATACACTTGAGCACAGCATTGCTGTAGACCCCTGGCACACAGAAACAACGCTGTGCTGTTGGAGATGCTCCCTTGAACACTGGAAGAAGGGGAAAAGAGACAGCATGGAGGTACATGGAGTATTTTTGGTTCTAGGTGCTCTTGCTGGGGCAAAGGTTTGTGTTTTTTCAGAGCAGATTCTCACTCTTTCCTTCTGCAGCTCTAATTTCTGTGTGCTTTCTGTTGTTTCTACACTTTTTAAAATCCACTTCTACATGTACCTTTGTGTTCCCAACCAGCTCTGCTGGAGCCACCTCTCATTTTTCCTCACCACTTTTACTTTCTGGACACTCTCACACCTTGGTTTCAGCTATTGTGATTTGTGACTATCCCAGGGTTTTGTTCCTCGGATAAAGAGGAAGCCTCCTCAGCATGCTGGTGGCTGTTCCATGGTGGGGCGGCTCCATCTCCACTGAGAGCAGCCATGCTTTTATCAGCTGTGAGCTCAGAGCAGTCCAGTTCCTGGGGCAGGTGCCTGTGCTCTGCATCTCAGCAGGGATGGTGTCCAGATGTGCCTGACTGATGATGCTGGTGGCCCAACTATGGATTCAGGGCTATCTGGAAGGCAGACAAGATCAATTCCTTCCTCTTCTGTCATTGCCTCAAAAGACAAGACAGTGTTTGGTGCTGGAAGCAGCCCTCTGGTAGGCTGCCTGTCAGGAAGAAAGATGAATTTGCTGGTTGCCTTGGTTAAAAACATGTCAGCTCCTGAAATCCTTACTATAGACTAGCCTGGAAACTCATGTCACCATGCTGGATGGTGTCTCGTATACATAAAGAAAAACTTGTGAAAGCTGTTGGTCGCTGAAGAAATGAATAACCCATGTCCTTCCCCTCCCCCTTTCCCGCACGCTCAGTCCTTTATTTGGCTCTGAGGGAGCGAGGATGCTGGGTTATATATACACTTTGCCGGCAAAGCATGGTTTGA